TTTGGTTTGGTTAACAATACAAATGTATTACCTATTCACAAAATTAAATTTATCTTAAAAATATGTATGGAAGCTTGAGGCTGGAACATACCAGGCCGGCCGCCAAAGCCCTTTGTTCCCCTTGGGCCCGGCAGACACATCTGGTGAGGGTGAGTGGTCTAGGTGGGATTGAAGATGCCCCTGCTGGGTCAATGCCACCAGCTGCAACTAGGGGAAAGCAGGATGAAGCTTTTAGGATAGTCGCTGCTGGGCAGCTTCCTACGCCCTCTATTTCAGGGATCCCCAACCCGCATACCGGTCCGCAGCCTGTTAGAAACCGGCTGCGCAGCAGGAGGTGAGCGGTGGGCGAGTAAGCGAAGCTTCATCTGCCGCTCTCCATCACTCGCATTACCGCCTGAACCATCATATCCCCCCGCCACCAGGTCTGTGGAAAAATTGTCTTCCACAAAACTGGCTCCTGGTGCCAAAAATGTTGGGGACCGCTGCTCTACTTAATATTCTCTTTAACTCAAGACATTCTGACTCTATCTTGGAGGCTGGTACCAGAAAATCCCACAGCAGCAGACTGTGTCTGAGGTGACAGCCCCAGACTCCACCTTTTCTCTCCTCCTTTGCCATGCTTGGGTTGGACCCAAGGCTGTTGGAACTGTGACATTTAAAAGTCCCTTGCAAAATATTTGTGACTTTATTGTTAACCACCCCATATTTTTGTTGCCTTAGTAGATTTATTTATTTTCATTGTTTTTTGGAGTATATACAAAGACAATTGATTTTTGTTTATTGATTATATATCCAGCAGCTTGCTAAACTACCTTATTAATTCCAGTCTTCTGTCTCTAAATGGAGGGAGGGGGTCTATTTATACAAGCATATCATCAGACAATAATTACTATTTGGTTTCCTTTTTCTAATCCTTTATGTTGAATTTCTTTTTCTTCTTTGTCTGCACTGTCTGGGACCTATAGGACAATACCGGATGGAAAGAGCACACTGGGTATCCAATCTTATTCCTGATTGGCTAAGAACTACCTCTAGCATTTCACCCTGGAGTGTAATGTTTGCCATATAGTATATAGCTTCTTCTATTTCTAATTTGCCAAAAGTTCATTAGGGTTTTTTTTTTTTTATCTATTTATTTATTTATTTATTTTTGGCTGTGTTGGGTCTTCGTTGCTGTGCATGGGCTTCCTCTAGTTGCTGAGCGGGGGCTACCCCTCACTGTGGTGCACGGGCCCCTCACCACCACGGCCTCTCCTGTTGCGGAGCACGGGCCCTAGGCACATGGGCTTCAGTAGTTGTGGCTCACGGGCTCTAGAGCTCAGGCTCAGTAGTTGTGGTGCACGGGCTTAGTTGCTCTGTGGCACGTGGGATCTCCCTGGACCAGGGCTCAAACCTGTGTCCCCTGCATTGGCAGGTGGATTCTTAACCACCGCGCGACCAGGGAAGCCCAGGGTTTTGTTTCTTTTTAATCATGAGCAGCTTTTGAATTTTATCAAATTCTTTGTGTGCATGTATTGAGAATATCGCTTGCTATTTTCTCCCTCAGCCTATTAATGTGTTGAATTCACTAGTAGACTTTCTAACTCAACATTGAGTTTCTGGAATATTACAACCTTGACATGCTTATATTAATATATATATTGCTTTGATTCAGTTTGCTGATATTTTACTTAGAAGGGTTTTGCACCCATGTTCAGGAGTAGATTGGCCTATGATTTACTTTTCTTCTAATTTTGTCTAGTTTTAGTATCTCGGTTATTTTAGTATTAAAATTTGAATTGGAGAGTATTTTTTTCCAGATTCTATATAACCCTGAAATGATCTTCTCCTTAAAACTTTTATTGGGGAGGGACAGGGAGGAAAAAAAAAAAAAACTTTTATTAAACTTACCTCAGTCTGTTGTTTCATTTACAAAGTATTGTTCACTAATAATTTAGTTTCTTTAAATATTATTAGGGTATTTTTCTTCCTCCTTGAGCCAGTGCTGTTTAATTGTATTTTCTAGATGTTTTTAGAAAGTTCTGGATTTAAGGGCATCAAATCTTCCATGTTATTTTCCTGTTGTCTTTGCTTTATCTTGAGTCTATCTCCTCTTCCTTTCTGAAATTTTTGGTGTGCATGTGTGCCCTTTTTTTCCAACTTTATCAGGATATATTTCATATACCATAAAATTCACCATTTAAAGTGTAGAGCTCTGTGGTTTTAGCATATTCACAGAGTTGTGCAACCATCTCCACCATCTAATTTTAGAACATTTTCAATATCATTAAGAGAAACCCCATTCACATCAATAGTCATTCCCCATTCCCACTCCCTCCTTACCACCTGAATTGGCTTTTAATATGTTGAATGTTTACATTGGTTCAAAAGTCAAAAGAACATTAAGTGGTATAAAATAAGTGTAAAAATATACACAGAGAATTCTAACTCCCACACCCTCTTTATAGGTAATCATTTCATTAGTTTTCTATTTATTTTTTCTGTATTTCTTTATGCAAACATAAGGAAATGCAAATATATTTATTCCTGTTTTCCATACTTTCCTTACAGAAAGATAACATAATTTACACACTATCTTGCACCTTGCTTTTTCACTTAGTAGCTAGAATTGCTGGTACTATGTTGAATAGCAGCAGTGAGAGCAGACATTTTTGCCTTGTTCCTGATCTTAAGGGGAAAGGATCTAATCTTTCACCACTAAGTACAATGTTAGCTACAGGTTTTTTGTAAATGTTCTCTTTCAAATTGAAGAAGTTCTCCTCTATTCCTAGTTACCTAGGAGTTTTTATCATGAATAGATGTTGAAATGTGTCAAATGCTTTTCTATATCAATTGATACAAGCTTGTGATTTTGTTGATATAGCAGATTACATTAATTGATTTTGGAATGTTGAACCAACCTTGCATCCTTAGAACAAACTTTATATGATCATGGTGTATAATTGTTTTTATATATTGCTGAAATCTCTTTGCTAATATTTTGTTAAGAATTTTTGAAATATCTTACAATTCTATATGTCAGTTATACCTCAATAAAACTGAAATTGTAAAATAAAACTAAATTAGCAGAGAAAAAAGAATTTTTGCATCTATATGCATGAGGGATATATACATTATGTCTATATGCATGAAGGATATATACACTAGTCTGTAGTTTTTTCTTTTTCGTTTTCTTTTTTTTTCTTTTCTATTTTTTTTTTGGCATTGTCTTTGTTTTTGTTATCAGGGTAATACTGACTTCATTAAATGAGTTGAGAAGTATTCTTTCCTCCTCTGTTTTCTGGAAGAGATTGTGTAAAATTGGTGTTAATTCTTCTTTAAACGTTTGATAGAATTCAGGAGTGAAATCATGGTCCTAGAGATTCCCTTTGGGGTAGTTTTTTAATTATGAACTAAATTTTGTTAATAGTGATAGAGTTAATTCAATTAACTATTTAATATTGGGTGAGTATGGAATTTGTGTTTTCAAGGAAGTGGTCCATTTCATGTAAATTGTCAAATGTATGTATTTACAGTTGTTCATAGTATTCCCCTTTCATTCTTTCAATGTCCGCAGGGTCTGTTTTATTCCTGATATTAGTAATATGTGTCATCTCTCTTTTTTCTTTGTCAGCCTTGCCAGTGCTTTGTCAATTTTATTGATCATTTCAAAGAACTAGCTTTTTGTTAATTGATTTCCTCTGTTGCTTTTTTCTTTTCAGTTTCACTAATTTCAGGTCTTATCTCTATTATTTCCTTCATTCTGCTTGCTTTGGATTCTTTTTCTAAGTTCTTGAGTGAAAACTTAGACTATTGATCTGAGACTTTCCCTCTTTTGTTTTTTTGTTTGTTTTTTTTTTTGCGGTACGCAGGCCTCACACTGTTGTGGCCTCTCCCGTTGCGGAGCACAGGCTCCGGATGCGCAGGCTCAGCGGCCATGGCTCACGGGCCCAGCGGCCATGGCTCACGGGCCCAGCCGCTCCACTGCACGCAGGATCCCCCCAGAACCAGGGCACGAACCCGTGTCCCCTGCATCGGCAGGCGGACTCCCAACCACTGCACCACCAGGGAAGCCCTCTGATGTTTCTGAATGTATCTTTTTGTAGAGCCCTTTGGTGGTTGTTGTAAGTATTACATTATATATACATAATTTATCACAGTCTAATGGTATTGCTATTTTACCAGTTTGAGTGAAAGAAACCTTACCTCCTTTAAAGTCCCTTTACCCTCTACCATTTATAGTTGTCTTAACTGTTACCTCTATATATATTGAGACCCACATTAGACAGTGTTATAATTTTTACTTCAACCATCAAAACTAATTTGGAAAAATCAAGAAGGAAAGTCTATTGTATTTATCTATATTTTTGCTCTTTCCATTGTTCTTCTTTTTTGATGTTCCAAGATTCCACCATTTTTCATTTTCTTTCTGTTTGGGGAACTTCCTTAGCCATTCTTTTATGTTAGGTCTGCTGGCAACAAATTCTCTTAGTTTTCCTTCGTCTGAGAATATCTTGATTATCCCTCTATTCCTGAAGCATATTTTCATCGGGTTGACAGAATTCTGGGTTGACAGTCATTTTCTTTCAGCTCTTGAAAAATATTGTACCACTTTCTTCTAGTCTCCGTGGTTTCTGGTGAGAAATCTGCTGTAATTTGAATTGTTTTTCTCCACAGGTAATATATTGTTTCTCTCTAGCTACTTTCAAGATTTTTTATTTGTCTTTATTTTTCAGGTGTTTGACTCTGTTGTGTATTGACATGGCTTTCTTCAGATTTATCTTATTTAGAGTTGTTTCTTACATCTAGATGTATGTTTTTTACCAAGTTTGGGGATTTTTCAGCCATTATTTCTTCAAATACTTTTCAGTCCCATGCCTTCTCCTCTCCTGGGACCCTGATGACATACATGTTAGATCTTTGTTATAGACCCACATGTCCCTGAAGCTCTGTTCTTTTTTATCACTCTGTATTTTCTCTGTTATTTCAATTGGGTAATATATATCATTCTATCTTTCTTTTTTAATATGGAGCACTTCATGAATTTGCACGTCATCCTTGCACAGGGGCCATGCTAATCTTCCCTGTATCATTGTAATTTTAGTGTGTGTGTTGCTGAAGCGAGCACCATATCATTCTATCTTTAAGTTAATTGATTTAATTGATTCTTTCCCCTATCCTCTCCAATCTGCTATTAAACCCATCCATTGAGGTTTTTGTTGCTGCTGTTATTGTACATTTTAGTTATAAAATTTTGCATTTAGTTCTCCTTTATATCTTCTATTTCTTTGCTGAGGCTTCCTATTTTCTCATTTGTTTCAAGCATATTCATAATTTGCACACTGCAGCATTTTTATGAAGGCTGCTTTAAACTTCTTGTCAGATAATTCTAACATCCATGTCATCTTGGTGTTGGTGTCTGTTGATTGTCTTTTCTGACTCGTGTTGAGATCTTATTGTTTCTTGGTGTGATGAATGATTTTCTGTTGAAACTTGGATGTTTTGGTGATTATGCTATAGGGCTCTGGATCTTACTTAAATATTGTATTTTAGCCAATTGCCTCTGACACTACTCCAGTGGGGAAGGGAATGCTGCCTTATTAATACCAAGTGGGGTAAAAGTTCAGGTTCTCCACTCAGCCTCCATTGACACCCAGGTTGGAGAAGGGGCTCCTTGTTATTGCTGGGCAGGGATGGGAGTTCAAGCTCCTTACTAAGCCTCCAATGAACCACCCTGCCAGGAGGGCAAGGAGTACCTCATTACTGCAACCCACATCTGATCCCCTTGAGGAGGCGGCCTCATTACTGCTGAGCAATTGTTAAATTCCTGACCCTCCCTCAGGCCTCCTCTGACAACACCCCAACAAGGAGGCAAAGGTGTGCCCTGTTACTGCTGAAATGGAGGTGGAAGTCCAGGCTCCCCATGTGGTCTCCACTGACAAGCAGGGTGTTGGGGTGGCAATGCTTTGTTTTCACCCAACAAGGATAGAAGTCCTGGCTCCTCACTTGGCCTTCTCTGCCACCAAGCTTCTGATGGCGGCATAGATCGAGCTATCTCATTACAGCTTGGCAAGAATGAAGTCTAGGCTTTCTTCACAGCCTTTAACGATGGAGATGGGGGTGAGGCCATCATTTCTTTTCTGTGGAGTTTGGCTGAAGTAAAGTGGTTATTGTCTAAAAGTTTTCTGTCTTGCTAGGCTGTCTCTTTCTGGTCCTTTGGCCACAGAGAGCAGGCTTTGTTGAGTCTTTTAGTCAGTCTGCTTTTATCTCTCTACCTTTCAGAGTCTTCTTACATCTGTTTTATAAATAACTTCCAGGAGTTTTAGTTGCACTTAGCAGGAGGAATAGGGAAAATTATATCTACTCCATCTTTCCAGAAGCAGACTGGAAGACTGTTTTAATATCGTCAAATGTATTTTACATTCCGACCGGCAATGTACAAGGGTTGTATTTTCTCCATGTCCATACTAACACTTATTTTCTGTTTTTTCGATCATAGCCATTCTAATAGGTGTAAAGTGATATCTCATTGTGATTTTTATTTGCATTTCCCTTATGATTACTGATATTAAGCATCTTTCCATGTGCTTACTGGTCATTTATATATCTTCTTTGGATAAATGTCTATTCAAGTCTTTTGCTTATTTTTGAATTGGGTTGTTTGGGGGGTTTGTTATTGAATTTTAGGAGTTCTCCATACGTTCTGGATATCAATCTTTTATCAAACTGGTGTTTGCAAATATTTTTTCCCATCCCATTACTTTTTTACTTTGTTGGTGGTATCCTTTGATGCATAAAAGTTTTTAATTCTGATGAAATCTAATTTGTCCATTTTTTTCTTTTGTTGCCTGTCCCTTTGGTCTCATGTCCAAGAAATCATTACCAAATACAATGTCATGAAAATTTCCCCTATGTTTTCATCTAAGAGTTTTATAGTTGGGAGTTCCCTGGTGGTCTAGTGGTTAGGATTCTGTGCTTTCACTGTTGTGACCCAGGTTCAATTCCTGGTTGGGGAACTGAGATCCCACAAGCCACGCAGCCAAAAGAATAAATAAGAGTTTTATAGTTTTAGTTCTTACATTTAGGTCTTTTATCCATTTTGACTTAAATTTTGCATATGTTAGATAAGGGTAGAGTTCATTCTTTTTCATGTTGATATCCAATTTTCCCAGCACCATTTCGCCACACTACTGAAAAGACTGCCCTTTCCCCAATTGAATGGTCTTGGCAACACTGTCAAAAATAACTTTTTTAAAAGACTGAAATCATGAATTCATAAAAATATAAAATAAATACATTTAAATATTTAATTTAACTCATTGATTAATGATAAAATCAATAAGATGCTGCAACCAGTTTAAAGGAGAATTCAAAGGACAGAGACATACATAGAGCCTGAAATGAATCTACAAATAGATATAAAATTGACCTTTTTAGGGGTGTATGTATTAGTTTCTTACTGCTGCTATCACAAATTTACTGGCTTAAAACAACAAATTTATTATCTTACAATTCCAGAGGTCAAGAAGTCTAAAATGGGTGAACAGGTCTGTTTCCCTCTGGAGGCTCTAGGGGAGAATCTATTTCCTGCCTTTTCCAGCTTAGGCAGGTTTCCTTCATTCTTTGGCTCAGGCCTGTGCATCACTCCAACCTCAGTTTCTATTGTCATGTCTCCTTCTCTAACACTATCCAGTCAAAACGACCCTTATGATTACATTGGGCCCTCCTGGATAATTCAGGAGACTCTCCTCATCTCAAGATCATTAACTTACCACATCTGCAAAACCACTTTGGCCATGGAAAGTAACACATTCACAGGTTACAAGGATTAGGACATGAACATTTGGGGGGGCATTATTCTGCCTACCAAAATGGGGGGTCAATTGTTCCTTCCATCATAAAGAATTAATTTGCATATGTACAGATTAAAATCATTTGCATTGCTATTGGTTATCTTTAATTTACAAAATTATAAAATAGCACAAAGACAATGAAAGGCGCAGAACATGCGGGAATAATCCAGAAGGTAGTGCTTAGTTTTCTATCCCACCCCAAAGCATAGTTTTCCATTGAAGATGCCCAATAATTCTTTTGGCCCATTTCAAAGTCTTTCACAGTTTGTACTGATTCTCTAATCTGTTTTATCACTTTATTTCTGTTTCAAGTTCTTTCCTCATTGATAGCCTCTATATGTCTTATCATGCTTTCTGCTCTATTCTCTTTTGAGCTCCTTTAAATTTTGTGTTCATTTGTGATTTTCTATTTTCTTCTGCTTCTCTCCTAACTTCTACCAGGCCCTAATGTCCACTGACTATCGGCCCATCTCCTCCTCTTGTTTGGCTTTTTCTTTCCTAAGGTCTTAAATTTCTGCTTTGCTGTCTTTCTTCAAAGCTGCAAATACTTCATTGAGGTATTGTTATTATTATTAATATATGTTGTACGGTCAGGGTACAATTTTCCCCCTCCTTTAGCAGCATTTTTTCCGATGTATTTTCTTCATCTGCAGAATAATTCTGTTGTCCCTTTTCAGGATTTTTCTTATGGTATTCTTATGAATGTGCTGCAGTACCTATTATGTTGCTGATATTTAGGTGAGTTCTATTTTCTTGGAGTAGCTATTATCAGGGGAGTCCTGGGTGTTAGTGGGATTGAGGGACATGGCTCCAGGGCTCCCTCCTCTGTGACTACAGAGGACAGTTTCTTTCACCTATATCTCTGCAGAGCCAGGCCACCAGACTAGAAGGGCTCCCCCAAGCTCACAAATACAACTAAACAACACACTCCCAGATAACCAATGGGTCAAAGAAGGAATTGAAAGTAAAATCAGAAAGTACTTTGAGATGAATAAAAATGAAGACACAACATACCACAACTTATGGTATGCAGCTAAAGCATGCCTAGAGGGAAATTTATAGCTATTACTGTCTGTATTAAGAAAGAAGAAAGATCTAAAATCAGTAACCTAATGGTTTACATTAAGACACTGGAAAAAGGAGAGCAAACAATCCTAAGGAAGGGTGCCTTCCCAGCCTCTGAGCTCCTTCAATTCTTTCACCAGCAGCTGCTGTTTCCAAGGGACACTGAGCCTGCCTTCCAGAGATCTACTCTTTTTCCAAAGCAGTTATCCCTATGTTGGCCACATCTGGGCCTCCTCCAGGCCCATCCACATCTTCTCTCAACCTCCTCCAGCTGATTTTCAATCTTTATCACAGCAGCTTCTCCTCAGGGTGAGGCCTTCTCTTTCTAGGACCTGCTCATTAGACTCTTCCCCACTCCCCCTGCTTCTCTGCCAGTCCTAGTGCTCCACTGTGAGAGCTTTTGGCCCCAGTTAAATGCAATTTGAGGCTTGGAGCTTTCTTCTTGTTCTTGGAGGGACAGTAGTCTTGAAGAAGGATCTTACTTCCCTGTTCAGGGATTGAACCTAGCTGCCAGTCCACCAGGGGCTAGAGGCTAGAAGCGAAGTTCCCTGCTTCTTACCCCATTTGAAAGCAAAAATGTTTCAAGGAGGCAAAAACTTCAAAACAGGTAAAAAGTTTATTGTTAGAGACAGAGCACAACATATGGGAGAGCACACAGAGAAACAGTTTATTTATTTAAAGCAGAAATACACACCCGGAGAGGAGTGCAAGCATCCTGAATGAGGAGTGCATGAAGAGGTGATTTAAATCATTTATATAGGACAGTTCTTCTGGGTCTTTTTTTACATTTGGCCAATTATCTTGTTTCTTTTTTTCACACCTGACTAGTCTTAGGACCCTCCCCAAGATGCCTGCACAACTCTTTTCTAAGATGGATCCCACTATATGGACATATATGGGTGTATGTCCATACATATTATGGGGTGGCGCCACCTCCCTTTCTGATCCCCAAGGAGCCTTCCTGCACATGTGCAGACAGGGAAGTTTTCCCTGACCTCAGGGGTGGGCACCTTATCTCTTTACTTTAGCAGAGCTCAGCTTCTGCCACTAGCTTTGTCCTTGGAGTGTCTGGGTGAGAAAAAAGCTTCAGCTTTACTCCACCTGACAAACACCAGCTGTCTGGCCCAGGGGCCCATCTATCTCCTACCTCACTCTGTCTCCTAGATTCACCGAAGGTGGAGCTTTGTTTTGTTATTGGGGGATGGGGGAA